GACGGCTCTCTTGAATTGGGGGTGATTTAGCGATTTCGTGATGCCATTGATGTGCATGTTGAACGACACAGGAGTCGTAATTACTTCTGGATAAGGAGTTACAATAGCTTTTTATGCGTTTTTGCCATTGCAAAAACACATGTTGCGACGACCCTGTGTGTGTGTATTTTCGCCTGTCCGGGTATTTTAACTTGACAACCAAGCAAACTCCAACGCCAAAATTTTGCTTATGGGTTCCCGGCCAATTGCCACCCCAGGATCGCAACACCAACCCTCACGCAAGTGTGGGTCCCGCGTGCGAGAGGGCGAAAAGTTTTGGTGGGAAATTTGCTAACTCGGGAACGAGGAAAGATAGAAAGCTGAAATGTTGAGGTTATTTTCCCCATCCACATATAACTCAAAGATTTCAAACTCAGCTCCCAGGTGTGCGTGGTTCCTGCGTACGGCCCCGTGCGGTTTCCTAGCGTAAAAATCGCTGGGTTGGGAACTAAAAAAGCCAGGAGGCTGAAATTTGAAGGAAATGTTCCCCGCCCATGCACGACTCAAAGTTATCAAATTCAGCCACCAGGCATGTGGGCGAGAAGAATTGCTAACTTGGGAAAGAGGAAAGCTGGGAGGCTGAAATTTTAAGGGTATGTCCCCAGCCCACATACGACTTAAAGATCCCAAACCCTGCCCCCAGGTATTTTCCCAGGTCACTGTGGCCCTGTGAAAGTTTTGGCGGAAAAAATGCTAACTTGGGAACCAGAAAAGCTGGGAAGCTGAGATTTTAGGAGAATATTCCTCGTCCGAATGCAACTTAAAGGCTAAAATTCTGCCTCCACCTATGCGTGGTTCTCGTTTACGGGCACTTTAATTTTTTGCGAAAGAATCAGTTATTGAACAGCTGGATCATTTTCAAAAAATGACCACTAAACGGAAATTGTTTATTTTCTTTTATGCAAAATTTACTATTTATGGTATTGAGCGCGAAAGGTTGGTGTGAAGAAACAACCATTCATGCAGTTAGCCTAATTAGTTCAAGTCTGGTGCAAAACCATATGATCGCACTGGCCCTCTTGGTGCGTTCCAGCCCAGGTTTGAAGGTCCTTTTGGTTGAAGTTGTTTAGGAATGTAACTCCTTATTTAAATTTGTGAGGATTGTTAATTACTATCACAATTTTTGAGGTACTTTCGGTTGAAGTTGTATCGTTAAACAACGGTGGCAATGTGATAATAGATCTGATACGGTCTAGGGTGTTTTTCGAAAGGTTTCCATTCTTGAAATGTAAGAGCTGCTGTTTGGTGCGTCGAAGGATGGAAGATAAGCTTGGAGCTATAGAACGAGGACCGCATACCAGTGGAGCGGTAAGCTTGTGTCCAGGGCAACCGATGGAAATACAGAAATGCCTACCGATATATTTATCAACTATTTTGAAAACAAGTTCTTCCAGGTAGCAGTAATGAACAAGCATAGGGTACTAACTGGAGGTATGCAGCCCGGGATAGAAGAGCCTATTATAGCCTTACCCGAGGTGCGGAAGCAAATTGAATACCCAATCCAACAGCTGGGGCTATCCTGGTATTTTTGGTACTTTGAAAATGTTGCTCCTAGTTTTTTGTGAAAAATTCCAATCTGTCGGCAACAACGCGGCACAGACATGCGGATCTCCGGTTTTGTCTGTAGCAACATGAGATTTCAGATGTTTCGGTTATTATTGTTGTTGTCACTTAGCCCAGTGGCATTCTGCGCTTTTGGTGGTTTAATTGGACGAGTGCAAAGTGCTGGTGTCAGGGGCACACTGATGTGCAACGGAAGACCGGCTAATCGAGTACTCGTCAAATTGTATGACGATGACAGAGGTACGATTAATTCATGCTTGCTCGGGTTAATACGAGCAAAAAAAGTGTAGATTACTCAAATTCAGGGTTCCAGAAACCGTCCGGCAAATTGAAATGGATGCAGAAACTAACCGTTTTTGGGAATGACAGCAAAGACACTATAGGAATTTGAAATTCCTTAATTAAGCCCTGATCTCCGATTAGTTTCTTTTCACGGCACGGCGAAGTAAGGTCTCCTACAACTCGTTCCACTGGCCACTGGAAATTTCAAGAATTTGCCCAGCTGACTTACTTTGCCCTTTTTGCAAAGCAATCAGGTGTTTCACTTGCGAGGCCCAGAAAGTGCTGTTAATTATTAAAAGTGCTATAGCAAGGGGTGGATTTAAGCCCTAGAGCTTCAAGTACCACAGAATCTTCAAAATTGCAAAGTCAGTGTACTCCTGCGATTATGGATTGAGTTCCACTCAGCTGCAGTGCGAGCGTCAAGCGTTAATGATCAGCTGCGACGAGCCACAGGATAGTTGATAGTTTCTGATCAATGAAAAATCCTTTTTATCCATTTATATAGCTTATCTGTGAAATCGAGGTGATAGCCGGCTGCATTTTGAAGGAATTGATATGGATGATTTCATGGGCGAAGCGAAATCAGATTCGCAAGGGAATTTTGAAGTATCTGGATACATACATGAAATGTCGCCAATTGACCCGAAAATAAACATTTATCACGACTGCAACGACGGCTGGAAGGCAAGTACTCAGCTGCCTTATTTGTACTGAAGACTCAACACTCCAGCAATGCTTTTCGAGCCTTCGGCCAAATTTTCGTGCGTATTTATGCAAACGCAAAAACGCATGTAGACAACGGCTGTGTATATGTGTGCATGTATGTGTGTGTTTATATACGTATGTACGCGTGTATGGTGTGTGCGCATATGTATTTGTTAGAAGACAACTGAACTTTGGCTCCCACTTTGAATTCAGCAACTGGAAAACTAGGAAGCTGAAATTTTAGGGGAATGTTCCCTGCCAATGTGCCGTCTCGTAAATCTAAATTCAGCCAACTTCACTTACGAAAGGACACATGAAATTTGAAATTGCACAACCTCTCAATTTTGTAGCCAGACAACCTAAAGAGTCCAAACTTCTAAAGCATGGCCTTTGACCGTGTTGCTGCCCTGAACACGCAACAGGAACCAAATATTTTCGCATTTTGAACAGAAAAATCTTCCATTCTGTTACGGTAATAAAAAAAAAAATTCTGGAGAAAACCTGCTTTATAAATTTTATATACGAAACTTTGATTGTATCGGTTTTATAAGCTGTCTGGTCAACTCCTTTGAAAGTCAAGCCTTTGACATGTGCCAAAATAAATAGTAGCATGAACGAGAAGCTAATGACCAAAGCCGATGGTACTCAGTGAATCGTAGCCGCACAGTGCTATACTTGAGCCTCTCGTTACATTTTCCTACTTGAAAAATACATTTTCGAGCTCCTGAATTTACTGTTTTCAGCCATGTCAACGGAAAATCAGCATAATGATACCGGATGGATATATTACGGAAGCAAAGGTACCAAAGAAGTGGTACAATGTAGGCAATGTCGAACTGGCTGGCAAATTCGCCGGTGAAACTCGCGACTGTATACACTGAAAGCACTTAATTTGAACTGATTGAGCCAGTGTGTTTGTGACTGCGTTCTAGTCATTTCGCTAAGTCCAGGCCAGAGTTCACGAAATGGTACGGGAAAAAACCCCTTTTTTTTGGAGGGAGGGAAGAGGATGAGGAAGGAGAGGGAAGGAGGCTACGTGCTCCAGAATCTCCTCATCCAGAACCTTAAAAAAAACTTTCGGGATACATGGCCAAACAGTTTACCAGGTTATTACTGGATGCTTTTTTCAACAGCAACACTTCTTTGTCCTCTGTTTGCGTGTTCAACCATTGCGGGAAATGAAGTGAGGATATATTCAATGTCATCAGTTGCTTTTAGCCATAGGTGGACCCAAGACAAACTCGAACGAGGAGGGGGCGGGAAGG